AAGTCAGTGGAGTGAGAAAAACGACTTCTTCCTTTGTAAAACTGTTATCAAAGATTGTTTCTGTCTTTGTCATATCGTGCTTGATAACGCTGTACAATAAATAAGAACCCCGTGTGAAGGAGAAGCAGAGCAGTAAATTAGAACAGAGCAGAATGGAGTTCAGTTCCGAGAGAACAGCCCTGAGAGGAGTCGGAGCACCTCAGAGCAAGATCAGGCCCACCTTGGTTAAACTACTCCAACGGTGAAGGTTCTCGTTAGTGCAGCACAGCTGCCACCACGGTGAGTACAGGAGTATTCATATTTACAGCAGGCTCCGATTTCTTTGGGTCTGAAACACCCAGACTCAGTAGAGCCACACTGAAAGAGCCAGAAAATTCTGAAAGAGGTACTCTTAAAGTGCATTTAGGAAAAAAATAATGAATTGATTTCAGTCAGCCATAGCTGAGGAAAGTGGCCCAGAACGCTGCTCCATTTCTGAAAACCTGTTGAATATGCTGGTACCCCAAATACCTGAGAAGTTAGGTCATGGTTTCTTCTATTTCTTGTTATTGTTTTGAGACAGGATGCCATTACATAGCTCAGGCTTCCTCCTCCCTCAGCTCCTGAGTGCTAGGATGGACAGATGTGCCCTGCTGTATCTGATAGCACTTGGCTTTTTAATTGAGCTATTACTTCGAAGCACACACATCATCATCTGTTACCCTGCTGATAGTAAAGTAATTCCAGTAGCACTGACACAGGCCCTGTGTCGTGTTCCTCCCTCGCTCCCCCAGCAGTAACCCCAAGAGATACATCACACTATTATACCCATCTTGTAGGCTAGGGAAACAGAGACATAAATAAAATAACTAAGCCAAGGTTATAGAATTAGTGTGAGAACTGGGATTCAAAGGCAGGTTAGGTAAGGTTCCAAGAAATTGTCTATTTCTCAAATTCCCTGAACCATCTCTCTAACAAGATGTTTGTAAGAATGAGGAACTTGGATGGGCATGGTGGTGCATGCCTTTAATCCAAGCACTCAAGAAGGAGAGGTAGGTGGATCTTTAAGAGTGTGAGACTAGCCTGATCTACACAGTAAGTTCCAGGTCAGCTAGGACTATATAGTGAAACCCTATCTCAAAAACCAAACAAGCTGGGTGTGGTGGCATAGGCCTTTAATCCCAGCACTTGGGAAGCAGAGGCAGGCAGATCCCTGTGAGATGGAGGCCAGCTTGGTTTATATAGAGTTCCAGGTCAGTGGGGAGGCTATAGAAACCCTATTTCAAAAACACCACAACAAAGAACAAAACAAACAACCCCACAAACTAACAAGCAAACAAAAAGAATGAAGAACTTTCATAAGAAGAATGAGCCCCTAGAGTGACTGGCAAGCGCTGCCCAGTGGGGTGCTTCCATTGGCTGGTTTCAGTGTCCAGTTCCTACTGGGGACAGATGAATGAGGCCCTCCACCTCAGAGGACTCGGTATTATCTACTTGTGTGGCATGGTTACAGCAAGAATATGCCTGGAGTAGGTTACAGAACACTCAATCTGCCCGACAGTTATATTTCTAATGAATAATTAATAATGAGTCTGGGAACAGACTTGGGTGTGTATGGGGTGAACTGGCTCTCTCAGATATGATCAGATCTGCAGTCTAACCTTGCTAGACTCACAGCCAGATCAGAACCAGTCTTACCAAGTCACTAAGATTTTCAGTCTCAGAGCAGTCGGCTCATCTCCTTCCCAACTGATCACCTGGTTTGACTGTACATAGTATTTAAAAGGATCTTTCATGGCGGGCTGGAGGTGTGGCTCAGTGGTAAAAAGGTACATTTAGCATGCATGGGGCTTTGGGTTCAATTCCCAGCACTGAACACACACACAATAAAACTATGCAAATTTATTCAAAAAACATAGGTGGCTGGGGCTGGAGAAGATGGCTCAGCGGTTAAGAGCACTGGTTCCTCTTGCAGAGGACCTGGGTTCCATTCCCAACACCACATGGCAGCTAACAACTGTATGTGGCTCCAGTTCCAGGGGATCTGATACCCTCTTCTGACCTCTGCAGGCACTGCATGCACACATGCACTTATATCATACAGACAATACAGTTATCCACATAAAAACATAATAACAAAATATTTTTAAAAACACATGGGCTTTTCAGTCTGCAAAGATGAAAGTCACACTCTGATGTGTGCGTAGTCTTTGATAATTTGAGAAGCATAGAGAAGATGACTGTACAATTATTTTCTAACTTCTAGAATAAAAAGAAACTATAAAGCTTCAAAAATTGAAGAAATGAACTGGTGAGATGGTTTAATGGGTAATGGAACTTGCTACTAGGCCCGAAAACTTGAGTTTGATCTCCAGGATCCACCTGTAGAGAAGAGAACTGACTCTGCAGGTTGTCCTCTGACTTCCAGGTGTGTGAGGTGGCACATGTGCCCTCACACACATACAGATGGACAGACAGACACATATACAATAATTAAGTAAATGTAATAAGAGTGCTGGTTGTTACAGATTAATTTATAATAGCTCTGGATAAAATATTTTCAAAACTTTACTAGTAGAAAAAATTAAAGAAGCTATTTTTGGATAAATATAAAAAGTTTTAAAGAATATAAGCTTCATTCCAAGAAGCCAAAATCGCAACCCCTTTGGTGTTTATCAGATCTCTAATCTGACTCATAGTCCTCCTCCCAAAGCTCGTGAGCATGGGTATGAACAGGAGTCATACAGACAGAGTCCCACAATATAGAACACATAAGGAATGCCAGGCGCTGTCCCTACAGTAACCCCAGGAGATACATCACACTATCATACCCACCTCGTAGACTGGGGAAACTGAGACTCAGATTAAATAACTGAGCCAAGATCACAGTGCAAGAATTGAGATTCAGAGGCAGGTGGTAAGGTTCCAAGAAGTTGTCTGTTTCTCTTCCCTGCTACATCTCTCTAACAGCATGCTTATAAGAATGGAGATTTGGGGGGCCGGAGAGATGGCTCAGTGATTTTGAGCACTGGCTGCTGGGTTTGATTCCCAGCATCCACGTGATAGCTAACAAGCATTGTAATTCCAGTTCCAGGGGATCTGATGCCCTCTTCTGACCTCCACGGGCATTGCACGACATGGGTGCACTTACATACATGCAGGCAATGCACTCATACATATAAAATAAAATATTTAAAAAAGAACTTGGCTGGGTGTGGGGGTTTGCACCCTTCATCCCAGCACTCAGGAGGGCTATCCTGGGAGCACAGCAGCCATTACCATGGTAATTAGAGAAGGTTGAATACCTATAGGAGAAGACCTTGGATGAGACAGGGCATGTTGACATTCCCTCTTAGAAGAAGGTATAGGGAGGGTCATTAGGTTTTAACCTTTGGGTCCAGCTATTCTCCTGCTTCTCCCTCTCTGCTCTTGGTAATTCTGCCCTAGCTGTGCATGCTGTTGGATGGTTCTAGAGTACACACAGGGTGGAAGGTTAACTGAAGAGGGGGATGCTCCATCTAAGCAGTTTTGGGGAGGTCATCATCCATGCTGGTGTCAAGCTTTTTGGTGACACAACTGTTTTAGGGTCAACCATATTCTTTGTAAGGAAGCCCTTGCTTACTTTAAGGCCAACGATAGACTCATTTGTTCACCAAGCCCTGCTTGGGTAGAACAGGTAGATAAGTCTATCAATGGTGCCCTATCTGGGGTGAATAGATGTTCTATCACCCCAGGGAAAGTTAACATGAAGTCTACTAAGTTGAGGGTACTGAGCCAGGTACTTCAGAAAACATCTATAGCAAGGCCCTGTTTGAGTCTCAGATTTTAGGAAGTCTATCAGAAGGTTAAGAGCAAGTTCCAAGATAGGGTAACCGACAGACACTTTCATCAAAGGAAGCAAGAGCTCACATCTATTTCAAACAGCCCAGTGGGCTCATCCTCAAACCCATATGTGGGAGCCCTTCAGGATGGGGAGGGTCATTAGCTTTAACCTTTGGGTCCATGCTAGGCATGGTGAGGGGCCCAGTGAGAGGCATTCAGCAAGCTCCCTGGGCTAAAAGGAACTGGGAAGGCCACAGAACGTGTGGCTCAGTCCCAGCCCCCAGCCTCCAGGATTCTGATCCTGGAGGCATGAGCAACTGGAAAGGTTTGAGATAGAAGACTGGAGCAGATTTCAAAAGCCAACACCTTGAAATCCGATGGCTGCAGGTACTTGCTAACAGGAAGGTATGTAACAAGAGGCAGAATGAGTTTGGGAAGGGGATGCTCCTGCAGCCCCACCCTATTCTTACATAAAGTCAGCACGGAGGAGATTACAAAATAAAATCAATCCACTCTTACTCTGACTTTTGAAGTCTCTCCGATCCCTACAGTCCACAATTTTGGTTTTCTTGCAAATGCCAGGGACAGATACAAGGGTTAGATTGGAATGGGCACCTGTTAAAACTTGTTTTACTGACAAGAAGAGTTCCACCAGTGCCCTTTGCCAGCCCACTGTCTTCCCTCGCTGCCTTATCTTTATGCAAAGTCCCTGTTTTCTGGTCTGTAGAGAGACGATCATAATCGTAGGGTTATTAGTAAAGCGCAGACCTCCTGTAGCACCCAACCCGCCTGTCCCTCATCAGGCTCATATCACCACTTAGCGATCTTTTTCTGAAGCCAGTCACTTGTCAGCTTTTAAAAACAAAACAAACGTCAGCCCAAAACATTACCTCCGTCTGATCTGGATAAATATATTTAGATGTCTTTTGGCTGGAGTTTTTGGACCAGCCCAGGTTGTGTGGGCCGAGAGTTGGGGCAGGAACTATCCGATCTGTCTGTGCCAAGAATTCAGGCCAAATCTTTTAAAGTCGGCAGACCCCTCACCTCCTTTTCAAGTACCACGGGGCTGGAGCAGAGCCCACCAGGCTCCCGGCAGAGGCGCGGCCCTCGGCGTCCCCCCAGGAACCCCTGGATGCAAACTTGGCTGGACAGCGGCTGTGGCAGGGGGTACAGCCGGGCGTCCCAACCCCGCGGCTCACCTGCTGGGTTCTGCTCGCCGGCTGCGGCCAAGGCCGACAGCAGCAATGGCAGCAGCAGCAGCAGCCGTGATGGCTGCCCGAGGCTCCCGCCGGGGCTGCAGCGAGACATCGCTCCTCCGCGGTGACCTCAGCTCCGCTGGATTAGGCACGGCTGGGGCGGTCGTTGACAGCTGTTGAGGCCCCGGCGGGTGGCAGCTGCGTCGCAGAGGTCCGGGAGTTCTTAACTTTCGTCTTGCATTAGTCTCGCCTGTTTGCGCGCTTCACGTGGCCTTGGGAACCAACCTTCGCCCTACTGGGCCCCAGGCTGGGATAGGCGGGTCCTTTCTGTCTTGTCTGACCCTCCAGCAACCTGTGGGCCGGCCTGGGGAAGTTCTCCGGCGCACTTTTGGGAAGGGTGGAGGTTGTGCGCGTTCTCTCCTGCACCTGCAGGTCGGTGCCCAGGGCTTAGAGCACCGGGACGTCAGCGGCGTTGGTCCCTCTGGCAAGCAGAAGAGGCGCCCAGGGCAGCGGAGGGTCGCATGCCTCTACCTACACGCAGATGGGATTCGGTGCCGTTCCTGTGGACGTCTTCAGGTCCCTCATGCGTAAGGAACCAGGGTCCTGCGTCCCAGGTGGTCTAACCTCAGTCCATTTGCCCCAGCTGGACACTTCTGGCCCTTGGCTCCTTGTCTTCATTGGATGGAGCTGATTCCTACAGGGCTGGATCAGATTTACCCTCGAGTGCCAGTGGTGTCCCTATTTCTGGGCAGGGTCTGTTGAAAGTGACATTTTGAAGTAGGCAAAATTATGTCTCTAGTGAACATTGTGAAGTTGGCCAAGGGCGCCCCAGAAAACATTATGAAGTAGGCAGCAGACATTCATTCATCAAACACCGGCTGAACGCATCTTTTGCTACCGGTAACTGTGACGCACGGACCCGGTGGCTCACGCCTGTGATCCCAGCACTGCGCAGGCTGATGAAGGAGGATTGCGGAGTTTGAGGTCAACATGGGATACAGGCGGAGTCCTTGTCTCTGAAAACAGAATAAATACTAAAATAATAGGAAGAAACGCCTTTCCTAGAAGAGGAAATATATTTGTAATTGTTAGAAATAACTCGTGTGGAGCCAGGCGTAGTGGTGCATGCCTTTAATCCCGGCACTCCAGAGGCAGAGGCAGGCAGATTTCTGAGAGATCCAGGCCAGCCTGGTCTACATAGTGAGTCCCAGGCCATTGGGGGCTATAGGGAGACTGACCCTGTCTCAAAACAAACAAATAAATAAATAAGGTTATTTATTTATTTATAATTAAATGAGACCCTGTATCAAAAAGACCAACCCACATTCAAGAATTATAACATACATACATCATGATTTTGCCTGGTAACATCCATTGAATGAGGATTTGACCCTATAAGGATTACACATGCTCCTTCAAGCTAGAAAATGAACAGGAAGGAAAATCATGACTATTCAGGCGTGTCCTGTAGGAAGAGAAGAACATTAGCACCTTGGGGAAAGTTGTGCCACCCCAAATATATCAGGCATGCGACCATATTCCAGCCTCTGTGGTTTTACTAATCTTTCTGGTCCACAGAACCACGTGTTCTGAGAAGACGATGAACATGAATGAACCCAACAGGAGCAATGGGATACTCACCCATTTGCTAGTGGCATATTTATTGATTAAGGTGTTCCAGGACAGAGCCCCGAACATAACACTGTCCCTGACCTCACAGAACTCACATTCAAGGGAGCAAATTATTCATATTAACAAAGAAACTGGATTGGACTTTCTCCACTTCAGCACTGTTGAAATTTGAGACCAGGTATTTAGTGTGTGTGTGTGTGTGTGTGTGTGTGTGTGTGTGTGTGTGTGTGTGCATCCTGTGTACTCTGGGGCCTTGAACCACTGGATATCAGTAGCTCATCTACCAGGCATTGCCAGATATTCTCCTATACAACACTGTCTCTAGCTGAGCACAACTGATGCAGATGTTGATACACTTTGACATCTTTAAATTGTGGCGGTTTTAAATGTGTAGTAGAGGAAGGCACACCCAAACTCACATTCAGCTGAGGTGAGAAGGACCGAAGACATTGGCGGTGAAATTGTAACTGGAATTTTTAGGACAAAAGCAGAGGCTTTGGCAGCCCCAACATGCTAGGCTCAGAGACAAAGGGGTTGCTGTCGAGAGGAGAGAGAGAGAGAGAGAGAGAGAGAGAGAGAGAGAGAGAGAATGAGGATTTATTGTATTATTGGGAAGAGGAACAGCTAAAGGGGTGTGGTGACCTATCTTCAAGGCACTGGCATGAGCTTTAGTTTTATTTTATGTGTATGCATGTATTGCTACATATGTAAGTGCACCCGTGTCATACAATGCCTGTGGAGGTCAGAAGAGGGCGTTGAATCCCTTGGAACTGGAGTTATGGATGGTTGTTAGCTGTCAGGTTGGTGCTGGGAACTGAACCCAGGTCCTCTGCAAGAGCAGCCAGTGCTCTTAATCGCTGAACCATCTCTCCAGCCCCCTTGAACTTTAAACAGAGGAAGAACTGGGCAAAAGGACGAGGTCTGCGTAATGAAATAGTCCTGGTCAAAGTGGAATCTGGTTGCTCATTATCCCGTTCCCCAGGTGGTCTGAAGAGGTTCTTATCACTGTCATCTCTTGAGAGGACCCAAACTGGTTTCTACTAGATGATCATTTCTGCTCTGGGATACAACTTCAGCCTTGGGGATCATTGCCTTCATTTTGAATGGGGGCTGGGAAAGCTATTTGGCATGCTGAGGTTTCCCTGTTCTGGAAACACAGGGTGACTGAAGATTCAGGGCAAAGTCATATCTACCTTCAGCCTTGAGGAGGCGTATGGCAGGTTAGACAGACTCTCCTCCAGTGATTCACATGCCGACATGCAGAGGTAAGCAGTTGACATGGAAAGGAGGGACACAATGCGATAGATATGAGGCTTTCATCTTGCTTTTAGCTACCTGTCATCCCTGGTGAGGAGGCGACACTTTTTAAAAAACAGCTTCTAAGTGCCTGCTTCAGAATGTTCTCTATCTTTCTAGAGCATATACTGAGGTCTGGACTAGTCACCACCTATTTTTCCTGCTACTGGGTTTTCATGGGTTAGAGGTTTTAGGGGAAAGTGTTGGAGGTATTTTTCTACCAGGTAATTCGATATAGCAGTTTTTCTACTTGAGTTTTTAGGGTACAAGATGGGGGCTCTGATAGCCCTACCAAGCTAAGCTCTGTCACCCATCCTCAATAGGCCAATTAAAGGGAGAACAGTGAAAAGCAGAGAGAGGAAATTTATTCGGTGTGGCTACCTTGGGAAAAGGAACAAAGGGGTAATAAAGGGGCCCATTGATCCCCAAGTGCATCTCTAGGGTCCTGATGTGAGGTTTAGGTTTAAATAGGGGACAAAATATTCATAGCTAAGCAGTCCTCATCAAGGTGGGGTCCTGCTCACCATTGACACAGCAGTGTGATAGCAAAGTGTCTGGTAAGTTGGTGTGACAGCTCTTGGAGATAAGTTCCCCTTCTGGCCATACCATGCCTTTTCTTTTCCCAGCGTGGCATTCCTGGGGAAATGCCATTTCCTTAGGGACTACTGTTTCAATAGTCTGATGGTTCAAGGCTAGCTGACTATGACTAGTTTTACTGAAATTTGAAAGCTCTACTTGGTCTTTTTAAGGCTTCCCTGAAATAAAGGAGACTAGGATTGCAGTGTCGGTTAGAGCAATTCAAGTTGAATATTAGAAAGAAATACTACTTTGTGTGGATGCGGCTCGGTGGTGGGGCACTCACCTGGCCTGGGTGAAGAATGGGTTCCTCACCTAGCAGCAGCAGTATGAACAAATAGCAATGCTTCTTAACAGGAGCTGGAGCCGTGGAAAGAACAGAGGGCCTTGGAGTCATAGGCACTGAGGATGGACTCTTCCCTCATGCTTTGGACCCTAGCTCCCACTTCCCTGTAACAGTAGAAAGGTAAACATCACAACTTATCCTCCCCCCCCATTCCCCCCTTAGGATTTAAAATATATGAAGGTCAAGCCTGGCAGTGTGTTCTTTTAGCCTTAGCAATCTGGAGGCAGAGGCAGGTGGATCTCTGAGTTGGAGGCCAGCCTGGTCTACATACCATATGAAAAGGTACAGGTTTCAGGGCTTTATTGAGGCCCATTAAAGAAAAGCTGCTTCTTTCTGGTCAAAAGAGTGGAATCTCAGTTCTACCTCTTGCCCCAGGAGGAGACATGCTAATCAGATCTGCTTCAAAGATTAGAACAGTATATACTGCTGTCTCCTTCAGTAAGAGTTAATCCAGCTGGGCCTGTCAATCCACCTGTCCAGGAGACTGCCCCTTCGGAAAGCTGACTCACCTGAAGACATGCTAAGGAGATTGGAAAAATAATTATCCCTTCACATAGACTTCCCAGAATCCTCTCCCCTGAAGCAGCACTCACAGAGTTTCCACCATGCAGGACTGCTAAGTTTTCCTGTTTCTGAGTTTCAGCTCTAAAAGCATAACCTTTCCTTTTCTTTCCTCTGTCTTTTTTCCTTTTGGGTTCTGACTTATGCTTTCCCTGACACGCAGGGCTTTCCACACTCTTTCTTTAAAGCTTTCTCTGCCCACCCTACCCCCAGTGCAGCTCCTTGCCAACCCGCACTTCAAAATATGCTGAATTTCTTGGACCCTAATTAAAAAAGGCAGACTCTCTCCATCTCCCTCCGACCAGGAGCCACTGAGATTTACAGCTTGCCTACAAATCTGTTTTTCTTCCAAATTCTAAAAATAAAGAAAAAAAAAAAAAAGGTGCTTCCTCTGAGTGAGTTTTTAAATCCTTTTATCTTATTTTTTTCTTTTTAACTCTAAGACAGATTTCCCTAGAAAGTATACCTTCTTATTTTTATTTTTAATTTTTAAAATCTTATTTTTATTGTATGTGCATGAGTGTTTTGCCTACATCAGAGTGCACCACATGTATGCAATGCCTGCAGAGGCCAGAAGAGGGTGTTGAATCCCCTGGAACAGGAGTTGCTGATGGTTATTAGCCACCATGTGGGTGCTGGGAACTGAACCTGGGTCCTCTGCAAGAGCAACCAGTGCTCTTAGCTGCTGAGCCATTTCTCCAGCCCTGCATTCTTTTTTCTTTTTAAAAAAGTTTTAAAGTTTTGTATTAAAATATTAACTTAACTAATTACATAAAACTGCATTCATGCTTGAGATCAGGTTAGATCTCTCTGTCTTGTCAACCTTACATCATTTTTTAAAATGTCTTATTATTTTTATTTTTTAATATATTGTTTT